GATGGATGAATGATGGATGGATGGATGGATGAATGTATGTATGTATGTATGGATGATGGATGGATGAATGATGGATGGATGGATGAATGTATGTATGTATGTATGGATGATATATGTATGGATGATGGATGGATGGATGGATGGATGATGGATGGATGGATGGATGAATGTATGTATGTATGGATGGATGATGGATGGATGAATGTATGTATCTATGGATGGATGATGGATGGATGAATGATGGATGGATTTGTTACCTGTCTCATAGCCGTTGGACAGGGCTACGGTTCCAGGCGGGTGGATGAGGGTTATGTAAAAAACAGCTTTCATGGCCGGCTCATCGAAACAAGGGAACGTCTTCCTGGCGTGCGTCGGATGCATCTGAGAGGTGGCAACAACCCTGGGAAGGGTTTGAAGTTAGGAACCAGACGGTCCAAACACAACAAACGGAGTAAAGAACTCACTTCCTGACTCTGTCTTCTTCATATTCGCTCCGGTAAAATCCAGCCAGGTCGTCAGCGAGCTCTCCGGTGAACTCAGCGGTCAGCTGGTACTTCTGCCCCGGGGTCAGTCTGCTGCTCAGCTCAATGACCAGAAACTGAGTCTTCAGCTGCAGCCAAGTGGACCTGATATTTGGAGCAGAACCTCCTTCTGGAAAAGAATCATCCAATGGGACAAAAAGAGGAAGAGCAACAGAATAAATGTCTGATTGATGGAGCTGCTGCTGTACCTGCAGCGGTGAGGCTGACAGCCGGAGCCTCGCCCGTCCTTGTGTAGTTCAGTTTGTTGGAGTGAATCAGGATCAGATCTGTTGCTTCCTGACACACAAACTGCACAACGGAGTGTCCTGATGGACAAACAGAGACAAACCTGCACTTTATTTCACTGAAGGAGGGAAAGATCAGCAGCAGGAGACAACAACTGAACATTGTTCCACTTTCTTCAGGCTCTTAAAAACAATTTGTGTCGTTTCTGTTTTTAGCTGCAGGACTTCCTGTTGAAACAAAGATTTCAAGATGTCGTATTTCAAATCTGCTGTTTGATGCAGAAACATAATAAAGATGTTTCTTTAGTCCTAACCTGTGAACAGGTAGAGGCCGGAGGTCGGGTCAGGCCTGAGCCGAGGCCACAGGGAGATGTTGTAGAACTCTGGGACCAAAGCCGAGGACAGGCGGTACCTGGAGGAGATAAAAACCCAAAGTGCCAGCAGATTAAATCCGTTTACATCAAATAAATTTATTCTCAGGCTCAGTTCAAACTTTCGGGGTCACTCGTTAGACCGGAGCGCCACCGGAGATCTGCAGGGTATTTACTTTTCGTCATTTTCACACGCCTCAGTCAGGGTTAAAGTTATTTATTTTTAAAACTTTTTACTCATCTGCTCCACAGCGCCCACTAAAGACAAACACCTCTGGCTCGAAACGAATACTGTTTTTTTTTTCCAACAGGAAGTCGGCCATTTTGAATGAAAGGTGTCAATTTGTGATTACATTTAAACGAAATGCTCGTACAGATTTTTACTCATCGAGCTGAAAATGTCTCATTATGTAGAGTTTTCTAAAGCTCTGGTTCACAGTAAAGGTAGTGGGCGTGGCCTCACCTGAAAGCATTTAAAAAACTCTTTTAGATAATTAAATTAGTCCTCCATGCATTTATTGCTCACTCCATGTGATGGTTGCTCTATGGGTCAACACAGCTAATGAACCCTAGAAAACTCAAAGATGCTGCAGGTTTTTACAGGTAAAAATCTAAAGTTTAGTGTGGTAGTAGCTGAGAGTCATCCCCAACACGCAGTCTGAGTGTAACATCTCGCAGTGAGCTCTTGTGTGAAGTTATCTTTAAGTTCTGAGCTCTTCTCACTAAATTATCCTAGTTTAAAACTCGTGGCGGGTGACATGCATTCCTTCATCGGATGCTACACGTTGGATGCCGTAATCCTCATCCTCACCTTTTTCTTCAGAACCTCCTCCTGAAGTCACTCACCTGTCCCAAGGAGCTGTGACGTCATCTCCTTTGCCTCCTGTCAGAGCGATGGTCCACAAGGTGACGATGGTTGCCACGGAGACCAGGGCCAGGACCACGCAGAGGACGCACAGCCAGCTGACTCTGCAGCTTTTCTCCATCGGGCCTGGTTCTGATCCAGTCTCTGAGAGGACAACAGCTGATTCAGCCCTGAGCAGGTATAGAGCGTCCGTCTGAAAGACCAAGAAGAGGTTCTGTCAGCTCCCAACTGGGCCTGTCCTCCCTCCGTCCATCCTCCCACAGTCCTCCCCCTGTCTGTCCTCCCCCATCAGCAGCGTCCCTCTGAGCAGGAAATGGATGATTTATTAGCAGCTCTTTGTGCTGATAAGAGACTCACAATAATGTTTTAGTGCACGTTCTCATGCAGCTGGGAGTTCACACACTTCTGACGCACAGAGTTTATTTCAAGAGGTCAAAGGTCAAACCCTTGCAGACTGAAGCCAACGGCAGCAAACGTTTCTTAAAGGTGAGAGTTTGTGTTAGCCTTTGGACGTGAAGTTTATTTTGAAAACACTTCCTGTTTGTTTATGAAAGTATTCCTGGACTAAAAAATAAAATCCTGACAGCCTGAAATATTTTCATAAATAGTTTAGGCTCTGAAAGACGTTTGAAGGCCAAGACTTCCCTAAAGGAATGCATGTCACCCGCCAGAGTTTTTAAAACAAAGTTATGTTTGATTTGATCAATATCAGCTGTTACACTCTGTGTTAAAGACTCTCAGCTAAGACCACAACAAATGTTAACTCAGCATCTGTAGAAATCACTGAATTTTAGTTCTTTTGGTGTTTTCTAACGTCAGTTGGATGTGGCGGACATTTTGAACCAAGTTGGTAAAAACATCCTGTTTTAATTAAAATCTGTTCAGTGGTTTATGAGACGAGTGTACTCCTGTGGCTGTCAACATTTCCTGCTTCTTCACCTTCACACGACAGCATTATTGATCACTCAAGATCATCGTTGTGTACTTCTATGTTTTACCCGTCAAGGTAGCTAGCAGGTCACATGACTGAAAACTACCCATAGTAACCGAACGGGATTTTCAGAAATATAAATCTGGACAATAACTTTGTTTTTGTTCCACTAAAGCATAAAGTCATGCTATAAAGCTAAAGAGCTGCAGGTGGACTACAGGAAGACTATCAGCCCCCCCCCCCCCCCAACCCTATAAAGATCAACGGTACTAAGTTGGACATTGTGGACTACTGCAAGTACGTGGAGGTCCACCTAGACAATAAATTGGACTGGACAGCTAACACCAGCGCCATCTACAAGAAAGGACAGAGTCGCCTTTTTCTTCTGAGGAGACTCGGGTCCTTTAACATCTGCAGGACCATGCTGCAGATGTTAACACTTGGTAGTCTCCGGCGTCATCTTCTATGCTAGGGGTCTACAGCCTGTGGCTCTGGAGCCACGTGCGGCTCTTTGATCCCTCTGCAGCGGCTCTTTCAAGCTTTGACCAAAACTAACATAAATCTGAATTTTATAGGATGTTATAGCCACAAAAAATGACTAGTTTTAGCAGTTTTCCTGTCAATTCCTTTGCAAATACGTGTATACTAGTACTAATACACAAAGTAAATTTCCTCACTTTAACTTTATGCTTTATTCTTCAAAGTACAATACTCAATTACCGTATGTTTTGGACTATAAGGTGCACCGGATTATAAAGGCGCATTAAGTGAACCAACACTCAGATGAGTCAAACTTTATTCAACTCATTAACAGTAACGCTCCATATTGTTCGGTTGTACCACATAAAAACGGTTCGAGGTCAGTAAACACAGCCAGACATAATAAATAAGACACACTGTTGATTTTTCAGAAAATTAACGGATTTTAAATGTGCGTTATAGTCCAAAAAAATACAGTACTCCACAATTAAAAAAAACATGTTTGTCTGCATAGTTTATTGTTTTAGGTGTTTTTTTTTTATTGGCACATGGGCACCAATGACCCTTACAAACTGAAAAGGAAGAAATGAGACAAGACAGTGGACAGATGAATCAAAGATGGATGGAATCCGATATTTTCTTTTGTCTCAAAATGTAAAAATATCAATAAATGTTAACAATCAGATGTTTTTAGTTTTATAATTTCACACCTGCTGGCCAGAAAAGCCCCCTCTAACAAACTTAAAATGGCCCACGGGCCACCAGTTGATAATGACACTTGTAGCAGGTGTTGCGGCTCTTGACACGTTTAATTTAGTGAACAAAAGGACAGAAATGGCTCTTTTGATGGTAAAGGTTGCAGACCTCTGTTCTACGCTGTGGTGTGCTGGGGCAGCAGGGTGAAGAAAGATGATGCCAACAGACTCGATACGCTCATCAAGACAGCTGGCTCGGTTCTGGGAGCGGACCTGCAGTCTCTGACAGAGGTGTCCGAGCAGAGGATGTTGAGGAAACTGCTCCAGATCCTGAACAACACGTCACACTCCCTGCATGACACACTGGACTCACTGCAGCACCTTCAGTCGTAGACCGAGACCACCGAGGTGCTCCACAGAACAACACAGGAAGTACTTCCTCCCTGTCGCTATCAAACTTTTCAACTTCTCCCCCTTTCTACACATAGGACAATAAAATTAATCCTGCATCACAATAAACACTTTTCTGTCTGCACCTGACCTGTTTTAGACCTTAATTGTTGGTGTTTTTATCCTTCCATCATCTTCCGCTTGTTCTGAAGTCGGGTCGCGGAGGCAGCAGCTTGAGCAGGGAGGCCCAGACATCTCTTTCCACAGCCACCTCTTCTAGCTCTTCCCCAAGGCGTTCCCAGGGCAACCGAGAGACATAGTCTCTCCAGCGTGTCCTGGGTCTTCTCCCAGTCGGACATGCCCGAAGCACCTCCCTAGGGAGGAGTCCAGGGGGCATCCTTACCAGATGCTCAAACCACCTCAACTAGCTCCTCTCGACGTGGAGGAGCAGCAGTTCTACTGAGTCTCTCCTGGATAACTGAACTTCTCACCACATCTCTAACGGAGAATCTACCTACCCTGCTGAGGAAACTCACTTCAACCGCCTCTATCTGTGATCTCATTCTTTCGATCACTACCCAGAGTTTGTTACAATAGGTGAGGGTATGAACATAGACGGACCGGTAAACAGAGAGCTTGGCCTTACAGCTCAGCTCCCTCTTCACCACAACGGACCGGTACAGAGTCCACAATACTGCAGACGCTGCCCCAATCCGTCTGTCAATCTCACGCTCTATTCTTCCCTCATTCGTGAACAAAACCCCGAGATACTTGAACTCCTCCACTTGAGGCAGAACCTCACCCTCGATCTGAAGAGAGCAATCCACCCTTTTCTGGTTGAGGACCATGGCCTCAGAATTGGAGGTGCTGATTCTCATCCCTGCCGCTTCACACTCGGCTGCAAACTGCTCCAGTGAGAGCTGGAGATCACGGCACGATGATGCCAACAGGACCACATCATCTGCAAAGAGCAGAGATGGAATCCTGAGGCCACTGAACCAGACTCCCTCCACCTCTTGGCTGCACCGAGAAATTCTGTCCACAAAAGTTAAGAACAGAATCGTGACAATGGGCAGCCCAGGCGGAGTCCAACTCCCACCCTGAAGGGGTCCGACTTGCTACCAGCAATGTGAACCAAACTCTCACACCGCTTGTATAGAGACCGAACAGCCCGTAACAACAGGCCCCTAATCCCATACTCACAGAGTACCCCAAGGAACACGGTCAGATAACTTCTCCAAGTCCACAAAACACATGACTGGATGGGCAAACTCATGACCCCTCAAGGTATTTTTATATTCTCTGTTATTTTTATATCTTGTGTGAGTGTATGTTCCTTTGTACCGAAACTCTGGCACAACAATTTCCTGTGGGATCAATAAAGTTTTATCTTTTCTTATCTTATTACCAGAATGTACAGCTCAATAAAGCTCCACCCCCTACAGCCCAACCCACCTGTTCTCTGATTGGATCATTAAGTTTGTGATTGACAGGACATTGACCAATCAGCTGAGAGGAAGAAACTTGTAAAATGAAACTCACAGGAAGATATTTACACATAGTTTTTGGCTTCATGGGGGCCACCGTAATAAACAGACCTTGACAAAATGATTTGTAACTTTTGTAATTATTTTTTACAAATACACACGCACAAATCACAAATTTATTTAACAAGTTTACAAAACTGATTTACAAATACAAAATATTTATGACCAGAATTTGTGCCCATAGATTTGAGCTTTTTCTGTTTGAGGAAACCTGTAGAGAAAATACGGAGCCCCTGCAGTGCCAGCTGTAGAAAATGAACATGTTTATTTCAGTTTCTGAAACATCTTCTCACTTTTATCTGTTAGAGAAACAAATCCTTGATTTAAAACTCAGAGCAAGGATGAAAAAAAAAAAAACACGTGTACAAACTGAGCTCAGATTTTGTTTCTCTCTTCTGTATTTATTTAATATTTATTTTTAATTCAAGCAGAACAGACTCTGGTTCGGGCTGACAGAGGAGCCGGCTGTCATAACCAAAACAATTCTAATCAACAAAAGTAGCATTCCTGAGAGGAATGCTTATCACCCGCCGCCTTTTTAAACAAAGATCCCAGGTGCTCTGTCAGAGCTCGAGGTTTGTATTGTGAACAACTCTCAGCTACTACTACACCAAAGATTATCTTAGTGTCTGTAAAACTGTTTACAAGTTCATCATCTGTAAACGTTCGTCCAATGATTACTCAAAGTTTCATTGAACTCTGTTCAGGGGTTCATGAGATATTTTGCTAACAGATAAATAACTTTGAGCTCACAGCAGCAGACAAGGATTAAAACCAGTAATTTTTAACGTTTAGCTTTTACCATCAAATAGTTTAAACAGGGATCAAACACGAAGTCAACAATTATTAAAAAAAAAACAGAAACAAAAATATATTTTCCACATTTCTTCCATTAGTGCCCATGTTTTGATGTCAGTCTTCAATTTGCACAACCAATTTTGTTTTTTACATTTCTAACTTATATATATATATATATATATATATATATATATATATATATATATATAAAACCATCTATAAAAACGTCAGAAAGGACAAAAAAAACAAAAAACAATCTAATATTTTGCATAATCTGTTTTACGTTTTCACAATTACATTTTTTTTTTCTCAACAAGAACAAAAACTTCTTTTTTTCAGGGCAGAAGTTTTTATTTTAAATTTTTTTTAAATACAATCAAATAGAAAAAATAATTTTAGATTATTTTAAAAAAGCATTTTTCCTTCCAGCTCTAAATCCTACAAACAAACAAACAAACTCCAGTTTACTGTTAAATTACACGACCAAGGTGTGAGTCGGCCCGGGTTTAGCTTCGTCTGAAAACCACTTCAGAACCTGGTCCTGGTTCTCTGCCATCCACTTCATGTTGGCCTGGGTTCTCTCGATGGACTGATCCACAGCCAAAGTCCCGGATCCAAAACCAACGTCTGCGTTATCTGCCTTAAACTGCTTCAGCTGAGACACAGAACACACTCGGTCAGGGTCAGGGGTCAGAGGTCAAAAGATAGAGGTCAGGGGTCAGAGGTCAAAAGATAGAGGTCAGGGAGCAGAGCATAGGGGTCAGAGGATTGAGGCCAGGGGTCAAAGGTCAAAAGGTAGAGGTCAGGGGTCAAAAGATAGAGGTCAGGGATCAGAGGATAGAG